TTTTAGCACCCATTGAGGTTATGGCCAAGGAAAAGGCAAGCCTCACACGTGAACCTACACACCCAGACTGCAACAGCTTGGAGCTGGGTGGCTGGCCCACATTTGGTTGTAGTCCAGAGTCCTGTGACAGCCTTGGCACGCCTATGCAGGAGCCATCATCCTTGTTCCCGAGACACCTTATCATCATAAATTGTACCCTTGCATTGAGATGCTGCTGCAGGTATAGCACACAAAGGTTTCCTTTCTAAGGGTTTTGGAGTCTTATACCTAGCTGTAGATTGAAGGCAGTCCTATGTTCTCCTCCTCCTCCACTCCCGATGTATTCCTTCTCACCGTCTTTGGCGCCAGGTCTCATCCTGGCTTCTGAGGCCACACACTGCTTTCCTTGCAACTGTGTAGCATGTACCTGAAAGTCTTCAGCCCATTGGTCTAGGTGAATATGATCAATTGGAGCTAGGGTTTGGACCTCGACCCTCATCTGAGTCTGGCTCTCCAGGCTATGAGGCTATGTTAATTTTCTGCGCCACATGGGAAATATGTTTTTAGATGATGTGGGAGATAGGGTTAGCGGTACTGACTGACTTAAGTCCTTTGTGGTGACTGTTGGGCCAGACTCATCTGTGTTTGCAGACTCTTTTGGTGCCTCCTACCACCTTGATTCCCAGTGCAGCCTCATCTCCACACCCAACTCAGCTTGTGTTTGCCAGGCCGCATCTTCTCCCCCATGATCAACACTCCCACCACTACCACAATAGCTGTTTTGGTACAGTCCCTAATGGTGACAGTGTGACTTCCAGGATTGCCCCCATCACCCATCATGTCCACAGTGCTCCTTTCAACTCCAGGTCTGTTGCCCACGATGCAGGCAGAGATGGGCCATGATCTATTTGTCTTTGTAGCGTCAAGCTTATATGTTCTTCCATTTGCAGATACAGATTACCTCTTTTTCATTGTTTGTTCCCTGTCCTCATTGCTCTGTTTCCCTTTTTTCGTAGACTGTGGAGGAAGGGTATGTGGTGGTTATTAGAAGTGTTTCCTGGTCACTAGTTTTTTCAGTAGCAGTCGCAGGTGTAGCGGAGGTGGAGTCTTCCCGTCCCGGCCCAGGTAGAAAACCATGTACTGCCTGGACAACAGATACTCAGCAGGCGTGGATAACAGTTATCCCCCCGCCTCCTGCCACTGCCAACACCTCTAACAGACATCTGTGCATCATGGCCCTTCATTCCAGAAGAAGAACCACGATTAGGGAAGTTGCAAGTTGATGATTAAATCGGTTTTTATATATACAGTTTTTGTCCTTATGGGATTGAATTAGTTAACTCAGCATAATGCATTCTAATCCCTTCCAAGTTAGGTATTAATTTACAAAATCATTGCTCCTGTGTGCTGTGTAATATTCCACTGTGTGTATGTACCATAATTTCTCAATCCATTAGATTGCTGTTGGACAGATGGGCTATTTCCATGTTCATGCGATGGTTAGTAACATGGAAAGAATTTTCACAGAGGAAGATACTCAAATGGCCCACAGACACATGAAAAAAAAGCTCAAAATCAGTGACAATAAGAGAGATGCAAATCAAAACTAAATTTAGATAACATCTCACTCAGCTAGCAATGGTAAAGCTTAACAGGACAGCAAGTAATAAATATTGGAGAGGATGTGGAGAAATAGAAACTCATACATTGTTGGTGGGAATGTACAACCACTCTAGAAGGCAGTTTGGTGCTTCCTCAAAAAGCTGAACATAGAAATTCCATATGACCCAGCTATCCCACCGTTTGGAATATACTCTGAAAAAATGAGAACTGAGGCACAAATGGAGACTTGCACACCAATGTTCATAGCAGAGTTATTAGACTAACACCACAGTTCTTCAGGATTTGGAGAGGTCCTTGACAGCAGACTTTCCCAACAGTATATGTCTCCTGATCTCCTGACTGCTGATAACAATGGTGTTGACCGTGGACCAAGCAAGATGAAATCGATGACAATTTCAATCTTTTCACTATCTGGCATGATGTTGCTTGATTATATACACAAACCTAACCCAATGGAATAGAAATCAAATTGACTATATTTGTAAAAAGAGAGAGAAGAACCTCAGTATTAGCAGACAAAGTACTTCTAGAAAACAGTATGGAAATATGTATCAAAACTTTACAGTTATGTATTTCCTTGTGTTGTGGCTTCATCTCCAGAAATTTAGATTAATTAATAGAATTATGGATGAACACAATCTTTAGCACTAATTAGTTCACAATAACCTCATGAATAATAATAATCAAAACTATTTTTAGTGTTCAGCAAAATATGCTTATCTATAAAACATATATTTTAAAAATGAAGAATAACATTTACGGATGTAAAATTTCCTAATACATTTAATGAATTAGAATAAGCATTATATTTTATGGGAAAAAGACATTTTCAAGGAAAGTAAAACACAAATGTCATACCATTATCTTCTTTGTCTTAAAGCAGTCCTTCACAAACATCTCATGTCTTCCCATTTGTCTAAGAGGAGCTTTAAAAAAATGAAAATTCAGAACATGTCTCTCTCTACACACACTCACACACATCTTCTTTGAAAAAATGATTAGGTGCTTTATAAAGAAATATATACATTATTAAAAAAGATCAAATAGCTATTTTGATAAGGAATGTATCAGATACATATTTAATAAATTATTGAAAGTGCTATATGACATCGTTTCCTTTTATTTTTCTAAAATATAATGTTCTAACTACAGAATGGAATGGAATAGGATATAAATCATCATCTATATTATATATAATGTTCTAACTATGCTGCTATTGTTGCTATGTGCCATCAATTTATATCTGACTCATAGTGACTCCACATGCAGCAGATCAAAATACTGCCTGTCTTTATATCATCTCATAATCATTACTAACTACATTTGAGCAATGTTGCAGCCACTGTGACAATCCATCAAAGTGAATTTTTTCCCCTTTTTGCACTGATTCTCAACTATATCAAACATGATGTTCCTCTCCATGGACTAGTTCTTTCTGGAAACATTTCCAAGGCATGTGAGATGAAGCCATACTTCCAAGGAGCACCTTCTAGTGCATATTTGTTCGCTCTTCTGGCAGTCCTTGGTATATTAAAAATTCTTTATTGACATTATCATCTCTAATCTTCCTTATCCATCATCTAGCTTTAGCATGCATATCAGATGACAATGTCACCCATGGCTCAGGGCAGGTACCTCCTAGACCTCAGGTGATATCTTTGATTTTTATTTTCTCATATATAATGTTTTTAAAATTTATTATGATTTTTTTAAATGATGGTTTACAGAGAGTTTGGGTTTTCATCCATTCATTGTTGCAGTTGCCTCCCTTCTTTTCTACTCTCCTAGTCCACTTCGCAATGCATCTCTTGCTCCAGATTGTTTTCATATGTATGCCCAATCATATACTCCTTTCAGACAGTTCTTCCCCTCATCTGTCCCAATACAGTGTTCATTATTTATCCACTCTTTTCTTATTCTCCCCCCAAGTCCACATGTCAGTCCTATAACAGCAGTGTCATTTTGTGACTGAGATATTTCACTCAGCATAATGTTCTCCTGGTTCACTCATGTTGTGTAGTGTTTTAAGAGGTCATTCTTTTTCAGGGTGGCATAATGTTTCATTATGTGAATGCACCACAGTTTTCTATCCATTTGTTGATGGGAATCTTGACCTGTTTCTACCTCCTTACTATTGTGAATAACACAGCAATAAACATGACAGTGCATACATCCGTTTGAGTCACAGCTCTGGTTTCTTTAGGATACCTTTGCTTTTTAATGCTTTAAAAAGATATTTTCCCCCATGATATGTAACTGGTTGTTGACTACTGCTTCCATGGGAACTAATTATAGATTCAAGTAAAAGTAAATATTTGACAACCTAAATCTTTTCCAATGATGTTAATTATTAGTCCAGTTTTAAGCAACTTTATGTTGAGGTATAACCAGGCAGCATGTCACCTTATTCATATGGCTGTTCCTTGGACTATGTATAGGTTCTGCTTACATACAATTAAGTGTTTTGGAATTCTCATTCTTCTCAGTGTTATCCATACTTTGTAATGACCCATGCAGTCAAAGACCTCTTTATAATCAATGACAAAATATTAAACATCTTTCTGGAATTCTTTTATTTAAGATCCATCTGACATTAGCAATGATATCCTCATGCCTCATACTTTTCTGAAGCTAGTTTGAATTTCTGGAAGTTGTCTGTTGATGCATTGTTACAATTTTTAAATTCCCTTCTGTAAGAATTTATTTGTATGTGATAGTAATGATATTTTTACATAATGACCACAATCTGTTGGCTCATTTTTCTTTAGAATGTGCATGAGTATAATTCCCTTATAGTTGATTTAGCAGGTAGCTAGCTGTATTTCAAATTTCTTAGCATAGACAATTGAGTACTTACAGTTTTGTATCTGTTGGTTGAAAAATAAAAGTTGGTATTATATCAGGTTTTTTCCCCTGTGCCCTCAGAGCAGGTTTGATTGGTTATTATTCAGATGCTATTTCCTAATACGGTTGAATTTCAATAGATTCTTTCTAGTACAGTTAATTCCACATATTCCTTTGATCTTAGATTAGTTATTATCATATCATTCAGTATTTTGGTCATGGAATCCTTCAATAATGCAACTCAAGGATTGATTTTTTTTCCTAATTTTTTTCAGCTTGAGAAATGTCAAATATGTTCTTTTTTGGTCTTCCAACTCTAACTGTGAAATTTATACACATCATTAAAATAACTTGTCTTCTTGAGCCTTTGAAATTTTCAATGCTTTTATTACATTATTTTGCCTCTCTTTAGCTTTTTTATGTTCTAGAGCAAGCCTTAGAGTGTCTTCAAACCTTATTATTTCTTAGTTTTTTCTTTGTTTCCTGATTTTAAATTGATGTTTTATCTCCTTTAAGAGGTATGTCCTTGGTGTCATCTCAAAATTACTCTGCTCTTCATGCCTTAGTTTTTAGAAGTTGGTAAGAGCCTTATTTTTTTTAAATCTTTGGCATTAGTTATTGGTGTGTAAATTTTAATAATCACGTTAATTGGTCATCTTTGTAGGTATATGAATAGTACCCTAACGCTAATAGCGTTCATGCTCAACATTTCTTAAGCTCAAGGAAGTGAAGAACAAATTCAAGCCTCAAGTTGCAATACTTAAGGATCCTTTGGAAAGAATATTAAATGATTCAGGAAGCATTAAAAGAAGACGGAAAGAGTGTACAGAGTCATTGTACAAAAATGAATTGGTGGGCATGAAAATTTCTTGAAACAATATATGAGCAAGAGTCTTTGGTGATGAAGGAAGAAGTTCAAGCTACTGTGAAAGAATTAGAAAAAGAAAAAGGACCCAGGAATTGACATTTCAACAAACAGAAGCTGCCTGGGACGTGCTCACCAAGGTCTGCCAAGAAATCGGGAGGACAACCACCTGGCCAAGTGACTGGAAGAGATATATATTTGTTCACATTCCAAAAAAAGGTGACCTGCCAGAGTGCAGGAATTATTGAACAGAAGGGGTCGTGGTACTAGGGCTATTGTAGCTAATGTTAGATGGATCTTAGCTGAAAGCAGGGAGTACCAGAGGAATGTCTATCTTGTTTCATTGATTATGCAAAGGCATTTGACTGTGTGGATCATAACAAACTGTGGCTGACTCTGAGAAGAATGGGAATCCCAGAACATTTAATTGTGCTAATGCGAAACCTGTACTTGGACCAAGAGGCAGTCGTCAGAACAGAGAAAGGAAACACTGTATGGTTCAAAATTGGGAAGGGTGTGTATGCCAGGGATGTGTCCTGTCTCCATCCTTTTCAACTTGTATGCAGAACAGATTATCCAGGAGGCTGGGCTCTATGAGGAGAAAGGTGGGGTCAAGATTGGTGGAAGATCTATCAACAATCTGCGATATGCAGATGACACAACTCTGCTTGCTGAAACTGAGGAGGACCTGAATTGCTGGCTGCAGTCTTCAATATGGATCGAGGCTCAATGTCAAGAAGACAAAGATTCTCACCACTGAGCCAACTGGCAGCATCAGGATGGATGGTGAAGATTGTTCACAGCTTTAATTTTCTTGGCTCCACTCTTGGCACCAGTAGCCAGGAAATTAAAAGACATATTGCCATGGCAAAGTCTGCTCTTAGGGACCTCTCCAAAGTACTGAAGAGCAAGGGTGTATATCTGGAGACTAAGGTGTGTCTGATACAGGCCATTGTCTTTGCTATGACATGTTATGCATCAGAGAGTTGGACAGTGACAAAGGAGGACAGAAGGAGAATTGATGCCTTTGAGCTGTGGTGATGGAGAAGAGTATTGAGGGTATCAAGGACTGACAGGAAAACAGATTCATCCTGGAAAGGATTAAACCAGGCGGCTCCTTGGAGGCAAGGATTCTAAAGCTCTGACTAACATACTTTGGGCATGTGGTAAGGAGGGACTGGTCCTTGGAGAGGAACATCATGCTTCGGAGGGTGCAGGTACAGTGCTGGAGGGGAAGGCCCTCTATAAAGTGTATTGATTCAGTGACTGGGGTAATCGGGATGAGAATGTCAGAGACAATGCAATTGGCACAGGACAGAGCAGAGTTTGGGCTGTTGTACATAGGGTCGCTATGAGTCACAAGTGACTCGACGGCACATAATAACAACAATCTTTAATATCACATGCAATCAAGAATCTGCTGAAGATTATAAAAAACATGACTGGAACAGTACATTAACAGAGAACTGTCTGAAATGCAGGCTGGGTTTAGAAGAGGCTGAAGTACTAGTGATATCAGGACTAACGTTAGATGGATCTTGGTTGAAACAGGGAGTACTAGAGGAATGTCTGTGTTTCATTGACCATTGGCTAAGGCATGTGATTGTGTGGACCACAACAAACTATGGCTAACTGAGAATAATCTGATTCCCAGAACACTTGATCATTTTTATGTGATACCTATACTTGGACCAGGAAACAGTCTTTAGAACAGAGCAAGGAAACACTGTACAGTTCAAAATTGGGAAGGGTGTATGCCAGGGATGTGTCCTATCCCCATACCTTTTCAATCTATATGCAGAACAGATTATCCGGGAGGTTGGGCTCTTCTAAGGAGAAATGTGGCATCAGGATTGGAAGAAGACTCATCAACAATCTGCATTATGCAGATGACAAAACCCTGCTTGCTAAAACAGGATGACCTGAAGCACTTGCTTCAGAAGGTCAAGGACTTACTGTGGAAGGTCAATATGGATTAAAGCTCAATATCAAGAAAAGTCCAGGCTGGTTTCAGAAGGGGTCGTGGTACTAGAGATATTGTAGCTGATGTTAGATGGATCTTGGCTGAAAGCAGGGAATACCAGAGGAATGTCT